AGGAGGGGTAATATCTGAGAGGGTCTCCTCTCTGGCGCTGCTTGGTCTTTCTAATTATTTACAGGAACCAAAAGGCAGAAGTTGCAGCTGTCTGACGCAGGCGGCATAGCCACATTCCTCTCAAGGCTCAAGATAATTTCAAGTTCCAATAGCTTTAAGTTTGAATTATTTTACATTTGAATTATTTAATTTTACATCTGATCATTTGGATCCTGCCATGAAATTTCCCAAGTTCACTTTCTCAACTAGAGTTCCTGCAGCTTCTTGACTCATCAAACTAAGGTCATATTAGCTTCTGTGGTGTGGGGGGCACTGGCTCTCAGCCCGAAGCCCTCTAGGCCAGAGGTTTTGAGCTCCTCCCAACAGCTCAACGCTTTTTTGTTGTTGTTGCACTTCCCATCACTCTGCACACATCTCATCTTTGCCTCTGTTTTTTAAAAATATTTTCTGAAGCAAAAATGTTTTCTGATTTGCTGAAATCAGAAACCTATCTCATTTTCCAGTTGTCCACCAGAGCTGTTGCTCAGTGCAGGGAAACCAGGAAATGATGACTACAAGTTAGAAACAAAAAGACTGGCTTTTAAGTCAGCTGCTACAGCCTTGGTATTCCCAGCATGGAACTTCTAAAACCTGTGGAATTTCCTTAGTGATAGGACTGTTTTCATTTTGCTAATGAGGGAACTTACTTTGCTTTCCTAGATAGCTTCACCTTGGGTTCTGATCACCAGAAAGGTCAACCAGATGAAATTGCAGGGTTTCAGGAGGCTGAGGCAGGAGAATCACTTGAACCCGGTTGGTGGAGGTTGCAGTAAATCAAGATTGTACCACTGCACACTCCAGCCTGGGTGACAGAGCGAGACTCTGTCAAAAAAAAAAAAAGAAAGAAAGAAGGAAGGAAGGAAGGAAGGAAGGAAGGAAGGAAGGAAGGAAGGAAGGAAGGAAGGAAAGAAAAGGGAGGGAGGGAGGGAGGAAGGAAGGGAGGAAGGGAAAAGGAGAAAAAAGAAATTGCAGGGTTATTGCAGGATTTGAGCTTTTTGAACCTTGGACTGCCAGACCTCCAGGGAGAAGAGTGGCACTGGAGATTAAGTTCACTCACATGGCCAGTGATTTAATCAATCATGCCTATCTAATGGAACCCTAATAACAACTCTAGATTCTGGGGTTCACTGGAGCTTCTGATTCGTGAACACACTGATGTGCTGGGCGAGTGATACACCCAGATTCCACTGGGAAAGAACATGGAACTGCATTCACCCCAGATCTCACCCTGTGTGCATCCTTTACAATAAAACCATAGCCATAAATATAGTACTTTCTTGACTTCTGTTAGTCATGTTAGCAGATTATCAAACCTGAAGTGTGTCCTAGAGTCTGGGGATCGGTAGTTGAACAGGTAAAAGTGTGAGTGGCTTTGAGTAACTTGTGAGTAACTTGCCCAGAACCACAGAGCTAGCAAGCAGCAGATACTACATGCAAATCCACACAGCTGGCATGTGAAATGAGGGCAGTCTCCTGGAGGCCTGAGCCCTTAACACATGGGGTCTGCACTAACTCCCAGTAGCAAGTGTCAGAATTATACTACAGTGCACCCAGTGGGATGCAGCAGAATAACTGTTATTAAGGATAATTTTGCAATTTCTTATAGAAGTCTTGAAATATTAGAAACAGCTTCTAGACCTTTATGTTGAGCATTACAGCTCAAAGCACTGTCCCTGGGTGGACAGGTTAGACAGATCATGCGGAAGGTGCCCCTCAAAGTGTGGGCCCAGACTATGCACATCCACAACTGTTCATTACCAGTTCCTGGTAAGATGTTTACAGAGCTTGAGAGCAGGCATTTAGAAACTTTTATAGCAATTGGACAATGCCAAGACATTCAGAAATGGAAATATTAAAATATCACACAGTGACAGTTTGGGGAAAAAATTATCTTTCACCACAGATAGTTTGAGGAGTGTAAATTTAGAAAATATAGCCTTGGTTGGTATGATCAGATGGAATTAGAACTTAGTGTGAGAGGTGTGAGCCATAGGATGAAGCAGATGGATTTGCATGTAATATCTGCTGCTTGCTAGCTCTGTGGTCCTGGGCAAGTTACTTAATTGCTCTGGGACTCAATTCCCTCATCTAGAAAATGGATATGACAGTATTTCCTATCCAATTCGATGCTGGAAAGACCAAATAAAATAATCCAGAACAAATGCTAACCACAAACCTGTATATATAGTAAGTTAACTGCGGGTATTAATTCTTCTACATTCGCTTCTTGGCATCCGTGGTTCTGGCTTGGTTAAAGTATATTCTGTCTATGTAGGTTTGATGTATTACTGTATATAAAATCTATAGCCTTGCTCTCATGTGAATACAAAATAAAGCAAACACTGTTTAAAAGCCACAATTTATACATGTAAGCGAATGTTGCTTTTTGTAGAATCCCTCTGGGATGCTAGAGTCCTATCTGAAAATGTTGCAATTGTTGGAAGCATTTTTAGGACTTTTTCTTTTTTGCTTAATTTTTCTTTCTAATTATTATGGGTACAAGGTAGTTGTATATGTTACTGATGATTCTGGGAACTTATTTAGCATTTCCATTAGAACTTGTTCCAGTGATCCTCTGATGTAACAAATCACCTTAAAATGTAGGAGTTTACTCAGCATTGTGCAATATGCCCCTGTGATAAACCTGCACATGTACCCCTGAATCTAAAATTTGAAACAAATACATATATATGTAGATAAATGTATTTATACACATCTATACATATCTCAAACCAAAGCCAACAAAAAATAACTTCATGGTTTAGAACAACAATCTGTCATTATCACTCACCATTGACTGACTGGGCTAGACTGGTTCTCCTGTCTGGTCTTCCACAGGGTTGCAGTCAGATGTTGGCTGGGGATGGAGTCATTGGAAAGTGCAACAGGCTGGACATCCAGAATGACTTCTTCGCGCTTCACATTTGGTGCCTGGGCTGGGATGGCTGGGACAGCCGGAACAGCTTGGGGCTGGCTGGGTATCTCTCATTCCATGTGGACTTTCCTAGCTTGGGTTTCCTAGATGTATGCTGGGCTAAGCTTAGGGATGTGTCTTCACTGGTGGCTGGCTTCCCCCAGAGTGAGTGTTCTGAGAGGCGGGAAGCGGAAAATGCTAGATCTGGGCCTGGTAACTGGCATAGTATCACCACCGCCATATTCTACTAGTCCAAGCAGTCATTGAGCCTGTCCTTATTTAACAGGGGGAGACACAGACCCTGCCTCTGTCTAGGTGGAGGGTCAAAGAATCTGTGTCCACCTTTCACCTGCCATAAAGCTACAAAAGGAATGTAGTTTTCTTACTTTAGCATGTCCTTTCCCACCAGCGACATTGTATGATTTCCCAAGGTGACCACATTGAGGTAGGAATATTCATTTTGCTTTCAGTTCCTTCTTTTTGAGTGAAAACACAACCATTGTGTTACAGCCATGCCCTACATGCCTTTGTGTTTTGGCATTGGTCAGCCTATACTCAGGAAGGAGCATGGGAGTCACAGATTTCGCCTGGCAGACCCTCCCCTCAGAATCACCCTACTTTCTGAGTATCTGATTTCTACTAGTGACCTCCTTGTAGTCTGTGTTGCCTCCCTGTACTGTTCTCTGCCTTACCTGCTACCAAGGAATCTCCTGAAAGCCCGTGGAACCAACGCATCACTCCCTTGCTCTCAGAACTTCACTCTCTCCCTATGTCTTACACGGCATGTGTCCCACACATCCAGGTAGGGACTACAGACCCTCCACAGCTGGAAGAGGATAGCTTTCCAATTATGTTTTCCCCAAATGGTCTTGCTGCTTCTTTCAGCATCCCCACCAAAACACCCATGCATCACCACAGACACACAAGGCGCTCTGCAAAACACACACAAACACAAGCTCACATCATTTACCCAGCCAATATTTATTGAATATCTGCCTGTGCTGGGCTTTGTACTCAGCTTGAAGTTCCAGCAAGCTTAATTATTATTTTATTATTCCACAAACATACCTTAGGTTATTTTCCCTTTCCAAGACTTTGCTTAAGTTCCTGAGGTTAGGAGCATTTCTTATTAATGTTTTATTGTTTCCTTTGGTACCAAGTGCTGTGCTACCCACGGAGCAATACATATTAGTTGCAATGCTGTACAGAGGAGAGGTTCATTCTGTCTTTCATTGTATCTTACTTTTCATCTCTGCCCTTTTTGTTACCCTTTCTCTGAGTCTCATCTAGAATCAGCAAGCTCTCTCCTCATCTCTCCTCCTATTTAAAGTTTTAATGTACTTCCCTCTTATCTCACCAAAAGTTCATGGTAAGGGTGAAGTAGGAGGTAGTCTTGGGGACATTGTTCAGGCACCCTGAAATAACATTCACCCACAGACACAGTCAGTGAAGCATTGTTTTATTCAGTGCCATCGGCAGACTTCTGGTATGTTCTAGGCAGCCTTCCAGACTGGGGAGAACAGGAAGAATCAGATATGGCTGTCACTCCTTAGAAGTGCACAGCAGCTACTGGAATATCTATGAGCTGTGAGCTTTTGGTGGTCTGATAAGCAGACAAGAGAGGGCAAACCATGCTTACCTCTCTGGGTTTGCTTTATCAAATTGGAATTTCATAATCTCAAAAGTAGGGGGAACTTGTGGGCAGGGGCCCTACTGTCTTATCAAAGTGGGAAGGTGGACTTGTCCCTGAGTCCCATGGGGAGGGTTTTGCAAATGTACACTCATCCATCGCCTCTCTCCAAAGACTCACCTGAAATGGTGAGATCCCTTGTTTTGCAGAGACTGGTGGGGGGGGGGGGGGGGGGGGGGGGGGGGACAGATATGACACCTGGATTTAGCTAAAACTCCTGGATGATTCTGGTTTGTAATGCCCCTTCTACAACCTCGCTCCACCACCTACAGAAACACTGCTCAGGATAGAATGTCCCCAGCAGCATCTGAGCTGATGCCCTATGTTGGCTAACTGTGCCATCTGGCTGTTTTTCAGGTTCATTCTGCCACCCATCTGCTTTAAGACACAAGGTGCTGACCGCAGAGACCTGCCATGAAACCACACTTGAAGCAATGGAGACAACGAATGCTTTTCGGAATATTCGCTTGGGGGCTCCTCTTTTTGCTGATTTTCATCTACTTCACCGACAGCAACCCCGCTGAACCTGTGCCCAGCTCCCTCTCCTTCCTGGAGACCAGGAGGCTCCTGCCAGTGCAGGGGAAGCAGCGGGCCATCATGGGCGCCGCGCATGAGCCCTCCCCGCCTGGGGGTCTGGACGCACGCCAGGCGCTGCCCCGCGCCCACCCAGCCAGTTCCTTTCACGCGGGGCCTGGAGACCCGCAGAAATGGGCCCAGTCCCAAGATGGGTTTGAACATGAAGAGTTTTTTTCATCCCAGGTGGGAAGAAAATCTCAAAGTGCTTTCTACCCGGAGGATGACGACTACTTTTTTGCTGCTGGGCAGCCAGGGTGGCACAGCCACACTCAGGGGACATTGGGAGTCCCTTCCCCCGGGGAGCCAGGCCCACGGGATGGGGCTTTTCCGGCTGCACAGGTCCAGAGGAGGCGGGTGAAGAAGAGGCACCGGAGGCAGAGAAGGAGCCACGTGTTGGAGGAGGGCGACGACGGCGACAGGCTGTACTCCTCCATGTCCAGGGCCTTCCTGTACCGGCTCTGGAAGGGGAACGTCTCCTCCAAGATGCTGAACCCGCGCCTGCAGAAGGCGATGAAGGATTACCTGACGGCCAACAAGCACGGGGTGCGCTTCCGCGGGAAGCGGGAGACCGGGCTGAGCAGGGCACAGCTACTGTGCCAGCTGCGGAGCCGCGCGCCCGTGCGGACGCTGGACGGCACCGAGGCGCCCTTCTCTGCGCTGGGCTGGCGGCGCCTGGTGCCCGCCGTGCCCCTGAGCCAGCTGCACCCGCGCGGCTTGCGCAGCTGCGCTGTGGTCATGTCTGCAGGCTCAATCCTCAACTCCTCCTTGGGCGAGGAAATAGGTAGGTCTCAGTGCGGGGACCAGGTCGCCTTGTCTTGAGCCAGTGTGTCCCTGGGAGCTGGTTCTTTCAGTGCACGCCTCTGGATCTCACTGGTAGGGCAGGCTGGGGTCTCCACACCAGGCGTTTCTTATGTGAGCTGGAGATTCTTCAGGTGATTTCCCCTTGCTGGCGCAGAATGAGTCTCTCTGGGGTCACAGCGGACGTACTCTTCGGGGGACTCTTAGAGCAAGCATTTGGGGAATGCTGGGAAGCAAGAAGGGTCCTCCCCATAGCTGATGCCAGTGGGCAGTGGAAGGAAAGCGCCGCCCCTTGTCCCAGGTGTCCTTCTCGCTGTTCAGACTTCGTATCCCATAGAAACCGCAGTCTGCATGGATAGGCTCCCAGGCGGGCCCCCGAAAGCCGGGTGAACCCATCTTGCAGTGGGAATATGGGAAGGGAACAAGAGGAGGAGGAGGCAGGAAAGCAAGAGCTGCTCAATCAGGGCATCACCTCCAAAGAGCAGGGTGCATGAAGATCATGTTGGTTACTGTGGGCTCTGAGAAGAGCCCAGCTGCTGTTGGGAACATCTTTCCCATGGGAGCATAAGTTCTGGCCTCCCAACTGTTGGCGCATATCCAACCTTTGGGGCACTGCCAGTGCACCTACCGGGGACCTTCTCCAAGATGGTAAATAACACACAACACCTGGGCTTCCTCCCTCCCTGCCAGGCTCTGTCTTCACATCCCTGTCAAGAGCGCTGGAGCACATCTGTTTCCTGACTCCTGTATCAGTCAGGGTTCTCCAGAGACTCACACCAGGAGGATATGTGTCTATACAGAGAAAGATTTATTTTAAGGACTTGACTCTCATGATCGTGAAGGCTGGCAAGTCTGAAATAGGTAGTGCAGGCCAGCAGATGGGAAACTCAGGCGGAGCTTCTGTGTTGCTGTCTTGAGGCAGAATTTCTTGTTAAGGAAACTTCAGTCTTTGTTCTTAAGGCATTCACCTGGCGTGAGGAAGCACACCTGCATTGTGAGAGTTGTCTGCTTTTCTCAAAGTCTAGTGATTTCACTGTTAATCACATCTTAAAAACACCTTCCCAGCAACATCTAGACTAGTGTTTGACCAACCAGCTGGGCACTGTGGCCTAGCCAAGATGGCACACAACATGAGCCATTGCTATTTCTTCCTAGTTTTGAAGTAAAATGCCAGTTCTAATCTTTTTTGACTGATGGGGGCATGGCAGGGTTCAAATGCATTTGCCTCCTGCGGAGTGGTGTAGGTTCTGCACCAGATGGGCCAGCATGGGCTCTCCTCGGAATTCCCCTTCCTGTCCCGGATCACATTCGTTTCCCTACCTGTCCCGGCCTCTCACCCTGTCTTGCCGGAGATACCCAGGCTCTTGTGTTCCCATAGCTGGGCTCTCCCTCAGCAGTTTCAGATCCCTTTGCTCCCAGAACTCCCCCCGTTCCCAGGCTGATTCCATTGCTGCACCAGTCAGCAAGCAGCTTGGCCCTTTAGGCTCATTCATTAGACAAATATGTGTTTAGCCCCTAATACGTGCTTGACTCTGTACTAGGAGCAGTAAAACAAATGTGAATCAAATACAGCATCAGCCTCAAGTCCAGATGTAAGACAATCGTGTCCTGTACACTCTCACAGTAGGCAGTGTTGGGTCATAACTGGTCTGGAAGCGACATTCAGGGAATGTTGCTCCCTCTTTGCAAATAAGTAAAATTTGTTGTCTTCATTTTAAGTAGATCCATTAGTTGTTCTGTGTCCTTGAAGAGTGGCCCATGTTCCAGAGTTGTCTTAGAATAGGGTGAAGCCACTGTAGGCAGGCTCAGAAACCCAGACCTCAGCTCAGCAGAAGTCCTTGGGCATGAGGCTAAATGAGAAATATTTTTAAAGTTAAAAAAAAAAAAAAAAAAGATAGTGCGTCTGGAATCAAGGTCTGGGGTCCCTGTGTCCCTGTGCTGACATTACAGCAGGCTCATAATAACACAGTCCATGTGTCACATAAGCTTGTAGCCAAAGCCAGAGCAGAGCAGCCTGCAATTTATTAAGAAGAAGCAGTGGTTTAGAGGTCCCCGGGGTGAAATAACACCACAGTTCTTTCTCATTTCTGAGGGCCAATATTAATAATGTAGAGAAGGAATTTAAGTATTATGCTTGAAGCAGGCAGTAACTTGCTTCCGGTTTGGTTTGGTTTTAAACACCTCTGCATCAGAGGTGAAGATCTGGATTGCTCTTGCATGCCAGTGCGCAGTCCTTTGTCCTTTATTTCTGCGTAAATATCCCTGACCAGAATCTCGTAAACTCTAGAATTTGGAAGAGAGCATGAAAGACACTGAGAAGTCCATGTTTCTGGGAAACTTGAAATGCCAGTTATATCTTTGTTAATTTCTAGTATCCAAATCTAATTTGTTTTGCATGCCTTTAAGAACGGTAGAATCACAACTGAAGAACATGCCTGGAAATTTCTTTAAAATTATCTTTATTGTTTTGTCTAGGGTCCTTTGGATCAGATTGTGTATCTACTATTTTAAGAACATGTAACCATAGCGTGGCTCAATTTGTATAAACAAAAAGTTTCATTTGTATAAGTTGGTATCTCAGCATGAGCAGTTTACATGCCAGGTGCCGACCTCGCTCCTTCCTGTTCACCTGAATATATGCAAGCAAACCCACGTAGTTATGAATGGCTTGCAGAATACAAACAAACTCTGGCAGCAGATTCCTTTAGACAGCTTAGAGTATTGGGGGCAGCTGTAGCTAAATTCATGTTGGCCCCTAAGTATCTACTTGTGAATTGGCTAAGTGAAGATCAAAAGACTTACCAAAGATCACAATCTTATGAAAAATTGAAGACAGAGCTAGAAAGTATCTCAGATGGTCAGTGCTTATCAGCCCTACCTCCGCTCTGCCAGGAGGCCACCTCCACACGCTTATGTCCAGGGAAGACCCAGTCAGTGTCAGGTTTGCTTACTGGCTGCCCTTTAGCTCCCTCTGCTGTTTGTTCCACTGGCAGTGCGGCCCCCATCCCCCTACCCTTCTGTTGGAACTGAGTCACACAAAGGAATTGGTTTTGGTTAGAAAAGTATAGCATTTGTAAACACTTTCACTATGAATAGGTTATTGAAAAACAAACTAATTGTTTTGGAAACCTGGATCATTCTCTCCTAGAGTCATAAGATGATCTGTTTTCACCCCTGCATATAAGCAATAATAATTTGCTTCTGTGCAGTGCTACTGGTATTTATGTGGAAACACGTTACAGAGGAGAAAGTTCTGCTCTAAACCACCAGTGATAGCCTTCATGTGGGAAACCAAGATCTGTGTACTTGAAACTCAAATTCTGGCAAGTGCATGGGAAGTGGGACGTGGAGGGAGAGACTGGAGATGGGATGCATAGACTGGTGGAGAGGGCTTGAGATTTGACGTGTCCTGTTACTTTTAAAAAAAGCAAGAAAGAAGAAAGCAGTCCATATACTCTTCCAATGAGCGTTGTTTATTGGTCACCAACTCCACCAGATCCTGTGCTAGACACAAAACTGAAGAGGTCACGGACCCGACCATCCATACTGGCACACTTCAGTGGTAAACAGACAATTCCCGTGTTGTGGACTGGAGAAGGACAGGGAGATATGTAGGCTGACAAGGCAGAAATGATGATGAATTCCTAACTCCCCTGAGGGCTGGTGGTGGGGCAGAAGGAAGAGGTTGGTAAAGACTGCTCCAGGGAGAGGAGACCAAGCTGAAAGCCCAGCATCATATGGAAGTGAGAAACAGCGTGGTGTACAGGTGGTGAAAGCTACAGGGAGTACACGGGCTCATAGGGACAGAAGAGAGGAGCCGACTTGGAAGGCAGATCATATTCCTAGATGTCCTTGCAAGCCACTCTGAAAATTAGACTTCACTTAATAATTGTAATCATAGATACCACTTATAGTACAGACAAGGCCCTGTTCAGAATCCTTTTTTTTTTTTTTCGAGAGGGGGTCTCCCACTGTTGCCCAGGCTGGAGTGTAGTGGCACAATCTTGGCTCACTACAACCTCCACTTCCGAAGTTCAGGCAATTCTCCTGCCTCAGCCTCCCAAGTAGCTGGAATGACAGGTGCCCACCACCCTATCCAGCTAATTTTTGTATTTTTAGTAGAGATGGGGTTTCACTATGTTGGCCAGGCTGATCTTGAACTCCTGACCTTAAATGATCTTCCTGCCTCAGCCTCCCAAATGCTGGGATGACAGGCATGAGCCACCGTGCCCAGCCCAAAATACTCTTTTTGTGCTGTTGTAAACCTTACTACCCTAACTGATAGATAAGTTTGTTCCCATTTTACAGATAAGGAAATACCTCCAGTCACATGTGCAAAGCCTGGGTTCAAACCCCAGTGTGGGTCTCCAGAAACACTAGCTCTCACCCCTGTGCCGGCAATGCACAGCCATCGCAGATAGTCGCTATAGAGATCACACCAGAGCCTGGGCTTGAGGCTGCGAGGGAAGTAAGTCAAGAGGTGAGGGTTACAGGTCCTGGGGAAAAACAGGGCCTCCGCGGTGCTGGGAAAACATCGCTTTGTCCAATCCCAGGCAGGCCATTCTCTAGTGACTGGAGGCTTGCTCTTCCACTGTGTGAATTTTCTCATCAGAGTAGGAGAGGAGGAGGATGTGGGGGATGGGCCCCAGGGCAGGGCAGTGACCAGGTGCTGAAGGGCTTGCTGGCCCAGCAGCTCCTTGAAGGACTTTAATTTTCCTTCCATGGATGCACTTGTCTGGCTCCATTCTCAAGGTCAACACGGCATGGTTCTGGCCTGGGAATGCCTTCTCCAGAAATGAAACTTGACTTTCTTCCCCTTGTGTTTGCTGTCTGACCGATTCCTTTTTGTCTAAATAGGAATGGACAGCTTCTATTCTCACAGTGCATTATCAAGGCATGCACAGCCAGGTGTACGTTTATAAAACATGTCTGTGTGACAGACGACAATCTCAGTGCACCCTCCCCTTCCATCCCCACCCCATGCTGCTCATGGAGGCTGTTCATAAAGGGCTTGCACTGGGCCTAGCCACAAGCCTGCATGACCCGGCCTCCCTGTCGTCTGCACGCAGGTGGCCTCTTAACTTTGCAGACTAATACCACCTCCAAAGGAATTACACTGCTTTATCTTTCTGTGCCCTGTGCCTCGTGAAGTCCTTGGATGGCTTAGAGCACAGCTCCACAATAAGACAACGGGCATTTAAATGCTGGGATGTTTTCAAGGGTGATGCAATTAATTCACATTTATTAGTCAACTAATAGAAATGCACCCACCGCGTGGGTCCCTTGGCTAGGCTGTGTCTGAGGGGTTGTCAGCACGGTTTGGAGAGAACTGGGGTTGAGGATTGCTGGCATCACACTTCCCCTCAGGCTCGGGGTGACTCCCTCCCAGCACCTGCAGTCACCTCGCTGTCTGGAGTCTCCTCTCACTGTCTGCAACCAGAGGGTTGCCCTGGCTTGGCAGTTGGCACAGTGAGATCTAAGCTTACCCTTAGACTTTCCAAGGCCCTTTCGAGGGTCCATGAGAAAAAACTATTGTGGTAAGTATACTCAGAGTTCTTTTCCTTCCAGCTGTTGACATTTGCACTGGTGGTACAAACACAGTGATGCGTGGGACTGGGGCTTCTTAGCACAAGTCAGGGCAGCAGAACCCAAAGCTCAACCTTTGAATACATGGTTTTTCAGATTCAGTGGGACACATGGGGAAATAGGAGAAAAGCGCTTATGTGTGCCAGTTCACAAAGGAAAAGCCCCTGTGTAATTGCCTTGTGAGCCGAACTAGCCACTTTGTTCATGAAATGCAATTTCAACTTGAAAAGAAATGTTAATTATTCAGACTTGGATATTTGACAGATATGTTCTCAAAAAGGAATCAAGGGAGCGTATCACTTTTAGGAAAATAACTGATAGTATTTCTTGCCAATGATAAAATTCAAGCTTTGAACCATGAACTTGGAAGTTATCCAGACTTTAAAAACTGGTGAACTCCATGGTGATACTAACCAATGTGGTGTTTCAGTTCTTTTTTTTTGAGACGGAGTTTTGCTCTTGTTGCTGAGGCTGGAGTGCAATGGTACCATCTCGGCTCACCGCAACGTCTGTCCTCTGGGTTCAAGCGATTCTCCTACCTCAGCCTCCCGAGTAACTGGGATTACAGGCATGCACTAATTTTCTTTCTTTCTTTCTTTCTTGTTTTTTTTTTTTTTTTTTTTTTTTTTGCATTTTTAGTAGAGATATTTTTTTTTTTTTTTTTTTTTTTTTGCATTTTTAGTAGAGATGGGGTTTCTCCCTGGTGGTCAGGCTAGTCTCCAACTCCTGACCTCAGGTGATCCGCCCGTCTGGGTCTCCCAAAGTGCTGGGATTACAGGCATGAGCCACCACGCCCAGCCAGTGTTTCAACTCTTTATTACAAAATGCATCACCATTTGGAAGATCTGCCTAACATATATATATATTTCTTATAAATAACTATGCCTAGCTGATAGTTTTCAGGTGATCATTGTACAATATTATACAATTACGCATGAGTGGAAGGTCCATTTTAAGAGAAAAATAGACCACGAGTTTTAATGTAACAGAGCACAAAAAGTTCATTGAGAGGTTTCAGATTCCAAATTATAACCAACCCTAAGAAGCTAGCCCTCGTAGAGTTTTGTTAGGTATCAAAGAAGAATATTCACAGTTCTTTGGAAGGATTCTTTAAATAGCTTTCTCAATTCAACAATGTGTCTGAGCCTTCATATACTTCAAATAAAACAACATATTGCAACAAGTTGAATTCAAAAGCAGATATGAGAAACCAACTTTCTAAAAAACCAGACCTAAAAGAGACTTGCAAACATTGAAAACGGTGCCAGTCTTCTCAGTATTCTTTTGGTTTTTGAAAATATAGGGGATTTTTAAAATGGAAAAAACTGTATTTTAAAATAAATTAATAGACATTTTAAAATTCCCTGTTTTACTTTCTAGTATGGTAAATATCAGTAGATACATTCCATATGCCTAAAAAGTGTTTGGATTATCAATAAATTTCAAGAGTCTACTGTTTGGGGTAATCTAGTTTTTCCACCTCAAATATTATTTGAATTTTTTGACAAAACGTTATTCAATAAAAATAAATAATAAATCCATTATCTCAATAAAGTATGAACAAATCCTTAAATTGTGAAGTAAAGAACAGGTTTTAACTTGGAGGCATTTACGTATGTTGGCATCGTTTATACCCAGAGTAGATCCCCTTGAATCTAGAGATTGGCAGACTTTATTACAGAACCTGGTAGTAAATATTTTAGGTTTTGTGAACCATATTTCTGTCTCTGTCTCAACAGTTCAACTCTGCAGTTATAGATAGCGTGTACAGTGGATGTGTCTATGTTATGGTGGAACTTGATTTACTAAAACAAGTGGCAGGCCAGATTTGGCCGGAAGGTCATAGTTTGCCAACTCCTGCAAAATTTCCCCTAAAAGAACATTGCAGGGTTTTGATGACATAGCCACCTACACTTTACGCATTCACGTGTTCCCAAAGCGGATTAATTTTGGTGCTAAAGCTGGACTTTGAATTCTTTTAGTTCAGGGCTTGTCAGTGAAGACACCTTTTTTCACATTGTTTTAGTGGGGGCATGCATGGTAAGTTTCTGCTATTTGGGGAGCAAGAAGAAGACTCCAGAGGAGCAGGTAGCAGGGACTGGGGAAGAAGGCGGCTGCCTTAGGCATTTGTGTGGGGCTCGGGGACTGTACATGCAGCTCCCTTTGGGCATGACAGAAATACCTCTTTTCACCTCTGCCTCACAGACAGGCACTGTCCTTGCTCCAGGCGGAACTTGGAATCTGCATGAGATATTTGCAGCTAAAGATGGCTCTTAGAAAATTGATTTCTTGCTCATTGACTCTTCAGGCTGGTTTCTAGGAATTTCAAGACACATGTATGTTTAAAGACTGCCTTATGCAAAGGGAACATATCCCCTATTCCCAGCGCTAAATCAGGTGAACCCACTTTCCTGTGCCTCCCACTCTTCACCTCCTTGTCAGCCTCCAGGATAGGGGTACCTTGTTTTCATCCAGGTCCTCCCAGCCCAGCATTCAGAGAACTTGGGCAAGTCGGGCTGTCAGGTTGAATGAGGTGAGATATAGATTTATGTTGCATTCATAGTTCAACTTTGGTGAAGGACAGTGTGTGGTTATAGAACATAAGAGCCCTGGCAGCTGGTGGCATTGGGGGTCTCTCCATCTTGCCCATCCTCGGGGCTACAGCGGTCTGGTCTGCTGCTAATGCAGAATGCTCTAAGGTTGCTTTCACACAGGTATTCTTGCCATCGGCAGCAGTACGTAAGGTTGCATGGAAGTCAGGACTGGCTTGCTTGCTTTCTTCAACATTAAATGCAGAATCTCTGCTGAAGGGCTGGCTTTCTTTTTAAGCATACATCAGCACCAAAAAGCAGCTTTTGCCTTCTGGTGTCTTTATCTGCTCCAGTAGAGTCTCCCTCAAGATGTATTGGAAGCTTTGGGAGAATGGCTGCATCAAGCATGACACTTGTAAAGAATGCCGTAAAGGTAGCAGGTATCTAAATATCACTTAGATGATACAGTATCACCCATAATTGAACAGATTTTATATATATATATATCTGTTCAGATTTTTTATATATATATAATCTATATATAATCTGTTCAATATATTATATATATATATATACACACACACACACACACACACATATATCCATATTGATGTTTCCTGTAGCCAAGATCTCATTCTCCATGAAGAGTAAATTCTCTGAAAATCATGTGGGGACATCTTAACTTTATTGATGGTGTATCATTAGCTTCAGGTATTGAAAGGTTTGCTTTAACATTTTTTTCCTAGATTATGTGATTCTACAGAGAACAAAAGTAAGCTTGTCACTTATGTGCCCTTAGATTCTCATGATGCAGTTTTGAGATTTAACTCTGCTCCTACACGTGGTTATGAGAAAGATGTTGGGAATAAAACCACCGTACGCATCATTAATTCGCAGGTAAGACAGATGGAGTGTTTTCATGGATGTATGTTTCTTAGGATGTATGTTTCTCAGGTTTAACTGGATGAGTGAAGAGAAATGAGTTTAACTGGATGAGTGAAGAGAAGTTACCTGGTTAATTATGATCATGGTACTTACTTATTTCTATCAATCTTATAATTAATGCAAATTAATGAGGTAAACTGCAGAGAAATGGTAATTTAGACATGACATGAATAGGAGGAAATGAAAAAGATTAAAAGGAAAAATCAGTAGAAATAGAAAAAAATATATATATATTTGTAATCATAGACTTAGCATGTTGCATTTTGTGAACTGACGAAAGTTAAACTTAGAAGAAATAGCAATAAAGAAAGCGGAGGATAAAGGGGAGGAAAGCAAAGTATAAAATCTGAGAGTTCGTAGGATATCTTTGCAACTTTAGTCGCCATTTGGAAATTTTAAAAAATGAAAAGGAATTATTTAATTGGAAATGAAAATACCTCGTTTATTCACGTTCTTAATAAGAATGCCTTGCAAATGTATAGCAAAATTATCCTCAGAACAAACCACAACAATTTCTGGAGTTTCAAAATATGTAGAAAAAATGAGGTGATGAGTGATTTATGGTGAGTTGCTTACAGAACAAAAGATTAGCTTTCTGCACAGTTCACTGCACCAGGCAGCCTGCCACAAGGTAAGAAACAATTACCATATTTCCTTAATTCAGAGATGTCATTTGACTGTAAAATCTGCCATTCGTTTAATAACAACTTTTTACAAAGGAGGAGATAAACGCCACCAAATTAGAATACATATCATCTGTAACACACATTCTAACTTAGAAACTTTAACATGTGAAGGAAAAAAGTACATCGTAATAATGGTTAAAAAAAAAAAATGTGTCTTAAAACCGAGGGAAAATAATACGTTGTTTTTTCCTGAAACAATAATTTTTAAAAGATGATTGGCAGCTGAGATTGAAGAATTCATTTAGAACTAGGTAGGGCCACAGAGGGAAGGCTGTAGCTGGCACCCTGGAGGCTCCTTCAGGACTCACTTCATCCACACCTGCAACGCTGTCTCCAAATTACACGTGGAGGCAATTGTAGAAGAGGTTGCGGGACTTGAATTAGCTGGGGAATTGCACCCTTCAGGATCTGGATTCAGTACCACTAGACATTGCTGGTGAAAATGTCAGAACTTGTGTTTTTTAAAAAAATAATAATAATAATTTCCTTAAACATTCTTTAAGTGCTTCTGCACGCAATGCCTGCCTCTCTGCCTCCCCCAGGAGAAACTACAAAGTCTGAGCCACCTTTTTCTTGCCCTAGTTCTTTTTAATTTTCACCTCTTTTTAAAATGCAATTTTTAAAAACCAAACCCTGGCTTCGAAATGGTTTTTCTGTGTGTTTGCAGATCCTGACCAACCCTAGCCATCACTTCATTGACAGTTCACTGTATAAAGACGTCATTTTGGTGGCCTGGGATCCTGCCCCGTATTCGGCAAATCTTAACCTGGTAAGTGTTTCCCTGGATTCGCCCACCCCAACGGTCAGACAATGGCTTTGACTAATTGATCATAAGATCTAGGCAAGGATTAAGCTTTGACAGACAACGAAAGTACCTGTCAATATCAATTTCATGCATGTTTGTGAACACCACATTGATACCCAGTTACAGTAGCACACTTGTGAACATTAGTCATCTAATGCCAAAGTGCTTTTGTGCAGAATTGGTGGGCAGGGCAGCCGGGTGGGAAAAATGTAGAATATCTAAATATTCAGAAATTTCTAGTTACACTAAAGGGTTGACTGATTACACTCAGAATTGTTTCCCTGTGATGGGGCTACATTACCTTTCAAGCAGTTGGAAGACCTTTTGAAATAAATTGAAAGTGATTGGCACGAAAATCTCAACTTTGTGAATCCACAGCTCATTTTTATTTAAATGGGGCCTGTTCCAGGCTTTTCTTGAGTGTGTTCCTCTTTGGCTTCTGCTTCTGAATCTGCTTAATTTTATGCAATAGGGCTGAAACAAGTTTATTACTAGCCATAAAAACACAAACAGGTTATATTTGGGATGTTCTGGTAAATCATTGCCTATCTAAACAAGCAACCAGCTACTTTTGGTGAAACCTTTCATGAAAAGCCAGCATGCTTGTTTTTCAATGAGGGCTGAAAAAGATGGATAGTATTTAGCCTAGTAAGAGATGCCGTCATTTCCGTAAACGAGTGTCTTTGACTTGTTTAGTGAAGACCAGAGAGGATGCAACCTTCTTAAGATGAGTGTCAGGGAAAGATCTTTGCTTCTTCCAGAGGTAACCTCCCAAGATAGAAGCGGTTCCTGGAGAAGGAGCATTTTGGTCACTGTTGACCTTGAGACTGAGGCTGGACATTTACCTCGTATGATTACTTACAATTCCTGACCAGGCGTGCAAGTCAAAATCACCTGGAGAGTATTTTTCAAAATCTGTCAGAGCCCCATCTCCAGAAATGCAGGATATATATAGCCTCAATGTATATTTTTTGAGAGGGATCTTGGATTCTCATATGTACCCTCCACTGAGAATCAAGCGTCAGATGGGTGTTTGAACTTTTCAACTTCCTTTCCAGCCTGAGGCTCCCTGGTTTTAAACTCTTGCAGCTTTCTTGCTATTTGTGAACAGACTGAGAGTTTCTAGCTGTTGGACCTTATTTCTTCCTCTGCTGGAAGCAGCCCAACCCAGGGCACAGAGCTGGCCACCTGGCAGTGCTAAAATCCCAGTGGCAAGTCCGCTTTCTGTAAGGCCTTTGCTGCCATGTGAGGCCCCAAGAGGAGGGAGGGTAAAGGAGCAACTCTCGCTCTGACCCCACATTCCTCTTGCTCCCTTGCCAGGGTCACATGACTTGGGGCTTCGTTTATGAAAGATATTCTGGTCCAGTCATTCTCAAAGCTTTTAAAGCGACAGTGCCATTTCATTAGTGAAATATTACCTGTGATCTTAATGTATACCCACTATACACCAATGCTGTCTGTTTAAAGGGAGTTCTATGAGCTAAGCTTCTTCCCACCCACCCTATCCAAATCCATGTCATGGTTACAGCTGAGATGCTTCTGAAAACTTCCTTTTTGAAAAACATCCTTATTGATTTTTCTACAATAGCATACATTGTGTAAACAAATATAAGCGTACATTTTGATGAATGATAACAAATCTATATACTCATGTATCTACCATCATAATGAAAAACTGGAATATTTCCTTCACCCCAGAGAGTTCCTTTGTCAATCCATCCTAGTCAATCTTCCCAGCCCCAACCCAGGCCCAGGCAGCAGCGATACAATTTCTGTCACTATAGATGAAATTTGAAAAACTTATTTTTGAAATACACTGATCCAGTCCCCAGGGGCCAACAAACTACACCCATGGGCCAAATCTAGCCACCACCTGCCTTCATAAATAGTGTTTTATTAGAACACAGCACGCCCATTCAGTATTTATTATCCACGGCTGCTTCTGTGCTACGATGGTACAGTTGAGTAGAGACGACCGACTCTATGGCCTGCAAAGCCCAAGGTGTTGATTATCTGGCCCTTTGCAGAAGAGGGATGCTGATCCGTGATCTAGTCCATTTTCCTCATTTGACTAAAGCACAAAGCATTATCTCTGCTAGGGCTAGCATCCTGGTCTCTCTTTGTCCTCATCCCCTCATCCCAATGAGGAAGTGTCTGTAGATGGAATGAGTCGTGATCTTTCCCCATCCTCTAGCCCCAGCCTGGCCCCTCTGCCTCGAATCAACCAGCCATGCCCTGTCTCCTTTCACAGTTTAGTTCTTTCTACTTGACTGCATTGATTTTTTTTTCCCTTAGTGGTACAAAAAACCGGATTACAACCTGTTCACTCCATATATTCAGCATCGTCAGAGAAACCCAAATCAGCCATTTTACATTCTTCATCCTAAATTTATATGGCAACTCTGGGATATTATCCAGGAGAACACTAAAGAGAAGATTCAGCCAAACCCACCTTCTTCTGGTTTCATTGGTAGGTGTCATATTAAAAATTGGAATGAGTGGGGGGCAGACAGGATGAGATCTCATATTTAACAAATATACAGTCATGTTATATGGGTTGAGAATACCTTCTCTGAAATGCCTGGAACCGGAAGTGTTTCTGATTTTGGATTTTTTTCATATTTCAGAATATTCATAGATACTTAACTGGTTGAGAATGTCTAATCCAAAAATCCAAAATGCTTCAATGAGCCTTAGCTTTGAGTGCCATGTGGACACACAAAAAGTTTTGAATTTTGGAGCGTTTCAGCTTTTGGTTATTCAGATTAGGCATGTTCCACCTGTACAGTAAGAGCCATTAACAGGTGGTTTTGGAGGAAAGGTAGGTTGACTAAGGAAAAAAGAAACACTTGTGTAACAGACTGCTCCAAAATTTCAAGGTGTAAAAGAAAGAACTGTTTTATTTTTCTCATGATTTTATAGGTCAGGACAGGCCTAGCTGGGCAGTTCTTTCTGTTCCATATGGCATCCTTGGAGGTCGTCTGGTGCATTCCGCTCTTTATGGGATGACTTCACTCCCACATCCCTCCGGTCCCTTTGCAGGGATGGCTAAAGGCCCAGCTCGTCTGGGACAGTTGACCATGTGCCTGCACATAGTCTCTCTTGCATGGTGGTCTGAAAGTAATTGGACTTCTTAAATGGCAGCTTGTGGATCCTAGGGAGAACGTTCGAAAACACAGGAAATCAAGAATTTGAATTTCAAGAATTTGAATTCTTCTCTGCCACTGCCAGTTTCTTAAGGCCAACACCTAGGGACTGGTACAGCATCACAGGTGCAATTCTGTTGGCCAGAGTCATTTCAGGGCTTATTGATTCCAGGGGAGAAAACATAGACCCCGCCTCTTGAGGGAGGTGAGGGAGTCATGTCCAGGAAGGTGCGGCATCGTGAATCTGCCACCCATGCCTGTTCACATAGCTTTTGCCATGCTTGGTTGTGGAGCTGAATCTGTGACCACAGGAGAGTGTGTTGTGTTTCAAGATTATGAGTTGGTATGGGCTTTGATGAGACTAGTTCCAGTATCTCATTTAGCTCTCTTCACCAAAGAGTACACTATCTTTCATCTACAGATGGGTTTTAGGTAACAAGAGCATCATACTGGGCCTACATTGTCTTCTAGTCAAGCTTTGATCCTCAGAGTTTTTGGTTTTTACCTCATTTCTTTATCTGTGTTTTAGCTCATCACTCCATTGTCTCTTTGATATTACCTGAGTAGGGTAATATTAAGGAATATCCTAGACCCTTTTGGCAATATGAAAACCTACACAAGAACCAAACGATATTGGTTTTGTCTGTAAAGAACTGTAATGTTCTCTTTCCCAATTTCAATGAATTTACAACCCTTTTCCTTTCTTGGGCTGCACAGTGGTTCCGCATGAAAAGGAAAGACTTGTGGAGATAACACTGGTTTGGTTATGAATTCAGGACACACAGGTATCCTGAATTGAAGCTTGCAGATTTTAGAGTGGGTTTTTGGTATCATAATAATGTGAATTATTTTACATATAATTTAAGAAAAAAATTTACAATATGACTGCATACTCTTTTCCATAAGCTCAGCTTTTTCTCTCCCTTTTAAACTCATGCCTTTGACACTCTTTGTTTCTGATTCACTCTTTTGAAATCCTAAGTTCTTTATCTTTGGTGTGGTTTCATAGGATCTTGTTGATTTAGGAAAAAAAGTATAATCTAGTTTGTCAGCAGAGAGTAAACAGGATAGAATAATGCCTAGACAGCATAACAAGATGTGACAGAAGTTTAATACAGTCTTTTTCATATCCTCACCCTCTCATAAATTCATGTGGCTAATATTTGATTAGAGCAAAAGTTTTAAAGCACAGTTAGAGGGGCCTGTCAGATACACTTATTATCAACACGTGGTTTAAAAAATTCAAGTTAGATAGTCATAACTGAAAAAAAGTACTTTCCTATGTTGTTTTTGCTAAAAGAAATCATGCCACGTATAGCCAGCTTCCTTTTAAAGCTCTTTACTGAGTATTTAAAGTTTCAGAAGCTGAAGATTATCTTTAAGGCTTCTTTGACTTGAAGAAGGGGCTGCAGTTTGATGTCATTGCAAGAGGTTGAGGTGGCACAGGATGGGTTGAGTTTGAATTCCCCTCGGCCACTTGCTGGCTTGCTGACCTTGGGCAAGTTACTTCATCCTCTGACCCTGAATATCCACAGATGAGAAATGGAAGTACTAATAATCCTTATTATTTTCTAACACTGTACTGACCAATATGGCTACTTACATTTCAATTACTTCAAACTAAATAAGAGGAAACCTTTTGTTTCTCAGTCTCACCAGCCCCATCTCAAATTCTGAGTCACCACATGCTCCTGATGGCTACCATATTGGATAGTGCAGAGACAGAACAATTCCATTGTCCCAGAAAGTTATGTAGGACAGCACTGTTACGTTTTGCTAGTCACAAAAGAATGAAAAACAGCAAGTTGATAAGAAATCCCTCAGTTCCCACTGGGCAGGCTGTGTTCTGTGGGTAAGGGTTAGGGTCGGGCGAGGATAGAAGAGGCAACAGAAGATGTGGTCTGGCGTTGTTAGGTTTATTTGTGGCCCTTGTGCCTTGTCATGGTGAAGCATGTGAGAACCCTCACCAAGGATGGGCAATGGAGACAGCTTGGATGAGTTCTGCTCAGAAAACCTCCAGCACCTTCTGATTACCCACAAGACTGCAGTAGTCTTTGCCCCTCTTCTTTGATCTTGATCATAAATAGGCTGAGAGCCAGAATCTGTTTTATAATTTATCCGACATCCTTAAATAGCAGTAAAATGATGTCACCCACATCTCAATCTGTCTGCTATGATAATTTTAAAAATCAATGCCTGGTTTTGTTTTTTCTGTTATCAAAAAATGTTCTCCAAATGCCCGCTTCCTGTACTAAGGTCATGTTGAGAAGGCATTGACTTGTTGTCTCAGCACCTCATTGTTTCCAAGTGCTCTAACCTCTAACGTCAGCTGCTGAATAAAAGAACCCATCGAAGAGCTGTTAGAAGGGATTAGAACATTTCAGTTTGCACAGTCCCATCTTCAGCCCTGGGTACACCGGTCAGCAGGACGGTCACCACCACAGAAGATCAACCTGGCAGTGTCCCCGGCCTCTGGTTGTTCTGATCCACAAGGGGCTGCCCTGGAGGTGAAACAGTGTGTCCCACCTCCTTTACTGATGTGCTCATTAGATACATATATATACACATAGCTGCATACATGGTTGGCTTCATAGGGCTTTTGGTTTCCAATATTTTTGAACTAAAACCTTTACTAAATGTGTCCATCCTTATAGACTCCCATGCAATTACTTGTATTTCTAAACCCTCTGACATAGTTCGGGTATTTGTCCCCACCTAGATCTCATGCTGAATTGTAATCCCCACTTCACCTGGGCCTCGTGGAAGGTGTTTGGATCATGCAGACAGATCCTTCATGGCTTAGTGCTGTCTTCATGATAGTGAGTTCTCATGAGATTTGGTTGTTTTCTGATTTTTTTTTTTTTTTTTTTTTTTTTTTTTTGAGACAGAGTCTCGCTCTGTCACCCAGGCTGGAGTGCAGTGGCATGATCTCGGCTCACTGCAACCTCCACCTCTCGGGTTCAAGCAATTCTCCTACCTCAGCCTCCCAAGTAGCTGGGACTACAGATTTGGTTATTTGAGATCGTTGTGGCACCAACTCCCGCCCACTCTGTCTCTTGCTCCTGCTTTCAACATGTGAAGTGCCAACTCTGACTTTGCCTTCCAATGTCAGAGGCCTCCTCAGAAGCAAATGCCAGCACTATGTTTCCTGCACAGCTTGTGGAACTATGAGCCAATTAAATCTCTTTTCTTTATATTTTACCCAGTCTCAGGTATTTTATTATAGCAGTGCAAGAACAGACTAACACATCCACTGCATACATTTTCTTTATACATGCTTAGGAATCTGCTTGTTTGAAAGAGAGAGGCTCTAAAAAGTTGACTGTTTTGAACACAAAAGACATTTCTTCCTATGGAGATTATCCAGTGGCAGTTGGATTCCCAGGGAGATGTTACTGAGCCCCTTAAATGTAGTGCTATTAGTGCTATTCAAGGCCTCGTTACTGGGGCCTGAATCTTTCATATAGGTGAACGGTGGTGAGCAAGGAAGGTAAGGGTCATACTCAAGTGGATATTAATTGCACACTTCCTGTGTGCCAGACACAGGACTGGGCCCCAGAAACCTCATGGTGAAGAAACCAGGCAAGGGTCCTGCCCACCCAAAACTTGCAGGACAGACGTAAATAAAATCGTTATAAAGTATGATAAGTCCAACGAAGGAAAAGAAAAGAATGCATCAAGGAATGGTCTGTGTCTGTTTTGCCCATCATTGTATTTCTGCTGTTAGCCTGGCACATAGTAGATACAAATAATAATTACTTGGTGAGTGAATGAATGTTTTAGCTCAATGTTTTTCAAAATTTAGCATGTGTCAGAGTCACACAAAAGGTTTGTGTGCTAATAAACCATTCCTGCAAAGCAAAAGTTAGATCCTAAAAAGAACAATAAGCATTTATTCTTTCACAGTTTCCATGGGTCAGTGATCTGGGAGCAGATTGGTTGGATGATTCTGGCTCACAGTGTCTCCTAAGTTTACAATCAAACTGTCTGGATTCAGGCTGGATAATGTGTTTCCAAGATGACTCACTTGCATAGCTGAGGGCAGGAGGCCTCAGTTCCTTATCACATGAACCTCTTTCCATAGCACTGCTTGGGCATCCTCACAACATGGCTGCTGGCTTCCAGAGAACAGGAGATCTGAGAAAGAGCAGGGGGGAAGGCCCAATGGTTTTATGATGTCATAAGCTAACACATCTGCTACATTATCTCTGTTACACAAGTCAGCACCATCGTTATGGGACGAAACTACACAAAAACATGAATAGCAGGCACCAATCATTATGGAGTCAGTTTGGAGGGTGACTGTCACAGTTTTGTAAACCAG